ACAGAATCTTAAGACATGTGGACGTTTTCCAGGGATCTGAATGAGGAGGTGAGGTGTTGAAGGGAAGACAATGGTGGCTCTAAAGGAACTAGTCTTCATGTCCTGTTATTTTTAAATTTTTGAGGAAACACAGAAAGCGGAAATGGTTCGGCTTCTATGATATCATTAGTGCTATTTTTATTCTCTTAAGTTCAAAGGTTTCAAGGATAAGAAAATATATGCAAAAATGAGGACATTCATCTTTCTTGATTTTTATTAGTGTGCTTTCAAAATGCTCGTATGGAATAAGCACGTTTCTTTTCTAAATTTTGCTTTTCCACTTGCTTTAGGGATGTGTGTGTAGGTAGTAAGAATAAGGAAATGAGATATATATATATTTTAACAATTCTGTGATACAGTATATGTTAAAATAAGTAAAGATATTAAAACAACTTCATGGTACTAAAACCCAAATAGAGTGAAACACTTGAAAACGCTGTTTCCCCATTAAAGATTAGCTTAATATTGTTTGTTTTTGATGAGGGAAGTTAATTAGGTTACTTATTTATTCATTCTTAAAGGAGGTACTGGGGATTGAACCCCAGACCTCATGCATACTGAGCATGTGTTCTACCCCTTGAGGTGTACCCTCCCCCCAAGGTTAGCTTAATACTGAAATTGTGTTACTGACTCATTTCAGACTGTGCTGAAAAACTTCTGTTAATTAGATCTGACTAGGTTCAGTTGTTCTGTGGAAATTCAGTTTTACTTTGGTGTCCCTTGCTCTTGCACACAATGAAAAATAACTTTCACATTGAAAATAATTTCTGATGATAGCTAATATTATGGGCAGTGGGGGCAATTATCTTTTTAAGGAAAAGGTAGGATTTTCATCTTTTCTCCTAGTACAGGGTCTTAATTATGAAAACTAAGAGCTTTTATTAAAAAGAATGGCATCCCCCCCCCCAGAGGCTTTTGTTTTAATGCACAGATACATTAGAAATGAAGAATGGCTCTCTTAACATGAGAATATGTAGAGACTTGAGGTGATAATAGTGAACCGAGGTAGTCTTCTAAGAAAGGCCAGTGTTTTCCGTTTTCTACCCCTCTGAAGACTGAAGAAGGGGAGACTATTTCTGGTCCATATTTGTGGTTGGCATTAACACCATTGAACTCTGTTGATCTGTTACTGCTTGTTGTGTGGCAGCAAATAATCATTTCAGTTTACTTCAGTCAGTAAAAGGGAGTCTCCAACTGCTAGGCTGGAAAAGAGGAGCTGTACACACTGTTGTCTTTCTCATCATCTTTGTTAATAAATATTTACTTATCTGAATGAGGCAAGTATTGTAGACATTGTATGAATTAACAGGCTGTGAATGTACTTGGGAATCGCCCATCACTACAGAATGAAGTCGTGCTTTTTTATCTCTTAGACAGAATGGTGATTCAGGATGTGTCAGTATGAGAGGTAGGAATTTTCTCTGTTGAAATTAAAAAAAAAGTTACCAATTACTAGCATCAGCTCTAGGCATCTGAACCTCTTATGCCAAAGTCACATTCATCATCTCCACTTCCTGGGCCCACACGAAACATTCAAGAGCTGAGTTGGGTCGGGGTGTGATCCATTTTCAGTCTGAAGTTGGGATTTGCAAAATTAACACCCATCCATTTCTTTAAAAATATGATACCAGTGGTATATCTTCTTTATGTTGCATACCTCCTCTTGGAGTACCAAGATAGGTGCTTAGAGGAAACAAAGCCTACTCTTTCCTTTTTTTCCTTCATTTCTGTTCACCTTTTAATTTATACTGCATTGTTACGCGTTTTGTATATCCTCGTGCAATCTCATAATTTCCATTAGAATAGGAAGGAGTATAAATAAATAAGATGAAGAAAGTTTCACATTAAGTTAATGTCTTTTTTAAAGCAGTACTTCCCACCTGGGAGGCATTTGTGCTGTTACCTGTGTAATGTTTAATAAAAAATAGGTGGTCAGCCCCACCTGGGATCTATTGGATCCAAATCTAAGCTTATGTATTTTCCAGAAGTTCCCCCAGGTGTTTCTGCTATGTCCCTTTGACTTAGAACCACTGTGCTAAAGCGTGTTTTCTGTTTGTTTTATTCTCTAAGACAATGTGTAATGCACCTACAGTGACTGCTTTTCTGGAATAATGAGTACCAAGAGTTTTCTTTAAATTTACCTGTTTTTATATGAACTTGTAAAAGATTTATGTATGTGTATATATTTGATTTTTTTCATAATTCAGTTATGAAAAGGAACCGACATTTATTTTGATTTGTCCGATTTTTCTTGCAAGGGAGATCTATTTCCTGTCTATAGTACAGCTCATTTGGTGATAGATTTGGTCTTCACTGTTGCAGCTGCCCTTGGCAGCTTAGAATGACATGCTCGTGTAAATTGCATAGAATTTAAAATTAATAGAAAAATTAGATGCAGTTAATGAGTTGAGCCAAGTTTTGATAATGTGTCAAAGTCAGGCCTTTAGCGCTATGGGGATTTACTGAGTTTTGTCAATGAAAACAATGAATTAACAGTCAATCTAAGAAAGAAATGGGAATTTTTATTCAAGCCAACCTGAGGATTGTAACCCAGGAGACAGTCTCTCAGAGAGCTCTGAGAATTGTTCCAAAGAGGTAAGGGGAGAGGTCAGTATATTTGTGATTTTTGCTAAAGGAGGTACATGCAATCAAGCACGCATCTCAGTAGAAGATTGCTGCTGGTCAAGAGGAACAGACATCCTAGTTAGTGGTCTTAATGCTTTTCTAAGTATGGGAAGATGCAAGAATCCAGGTTCCTAAACAAGTTCTCTTGAAAATATCTAACCATCTGAGTGCCAGTTCTGTCAGTTTTCCCAGAGCACAAAGTGCCTCATCCTGATCTTCCCCCTTGAATCCCTTTCAGGGTGTATTGTAGGTCACCACCTGCAGTGGCCAAGGACTTGATTCTTGCAGAGCTGGATGGTGGGTTACATTCTTTATTTTACAGTCCCCGCCTTTTGGTCTTGATTTTGTCCAAGGTTTAGGAGTCATTTCATAACCAGTTTGTCCCATGGCTCATTCTCAGATCAGGTGGGGGTTTCGCTGATAGGCCACTCAATGTGCTCTTACTGGATTAGGCCTTGTTAACAGTAGCCAAAAGCCTCTGGACTTTGTATCTTACTGGTCAGTTATCTAGGAAATGGTTACTTCTTGCTTCTTCTCGTTATCTAAAGTTACACTATTACAGTCATTGATCTTACAGAACTATATATTTGATCAGTCCTTTTAAGTCACCTAATCATCATTAATTTTTTATTTTGGTGGGGGAGGTAATTAGGTTTATTTACTTATTTGCAGAAGAAGTACTGGGGATTGAACCCAGGACCTTGTGCATGCTAGGCACACGCTCTACTACTTGAGCTATACCCTCCTCACCAAATTATCATTAATTTCGTCTGAAGCTCAGTCACACATTTGGTAATGCAAGAAACAGTTATCTTATAAAGTAGGCAGGATACAAGTATTATGGTTAGTAGATAAAATAAGGTAACAAGTAAGTATTTAAGTTAAAAAACACCCATTAGGTGTGGCCCTGTATCTCCCCAGTCATCAGTCCAGTCTGTTCTGCACCAATCGCCATCTTTAAAGGAAATGACATATTGACATTATTGGCATTGTACATAAAGTTCACTAGAGATGTCTGTACATGCAAGGTGAGTGGTGGGTCATCGTGACCCCTTATAGGACTGAGAAAGGAATGCTGTCTTCAAGGGACTTGCATAGCTGGCATCAGAAGAAGAAAAATTGATCTTTATGGTTAAGCAGGCATTTCTGCTATTGGGGAGGTCTGGTCAATGCATAAAGCAGATACACAATGCACACTAGAGGAGAAAAAATTATGTTTAAATTTTTCTTGTCTTGCTTTAAAATGTAAAATGTTTATTTCATCAGTTTGAATATTATTTCTCCAGTGCCATTATGATTCAATATAAGCCTGTTTATACTTCCTAAGTCAGTACTTTTTTGATAGTGAGAAAATTAAAATGATCAAGACTTACCTTTTCATCTTGATTTCAGTACAGATTGGTTGCCATTGTAGATATAAGCACATTCATTCATTTTCTGTCTTAAAACTGGACTGGGATATCAAAGAATTTACAAAAGACTTTAAATTTTTGGATACAATTGACTGTAGATGTTTAAGTTTTGTTTGATATAAATGGCACAGAATTTATCTGAAGCTGATAACAGAAAAGAAACTATTAATTCAACATTAACACATGTAAGAAAAATTGTTCATATTATATGGCACCAAATTTTTTTTACAGTAGGTAGATGTTTATGTACCACTAATATTAATAGTTTGCTTAAACCTGTTACACTGCTTTAGCACTAGCACGTTGTGTATGTGCTTTAAAAAATTGCTTGCAAGTGCTGCGTTATTGTTTGTCAGTTCCTGTGTATGCCTCATCTGATGACTGTCCTCCTCAGTTTCCTCCATTTTCAGGCCTCTTTAAATATGAGTCACTGTGATGGTTCATAGTGTGGCTTTTCAGAAGAACACAACTGCAAGAAAATGCACATCATTGATAAGCATCTCCTCCCATTGAGTTTGTATGGCCTCTGATTCTTAAAAAGGAAGCCACAATTTTGGCCCAGTCAGGAGTAAAGCTGATTGAGTTAAATTCTGTTAAAGTTAAGTGGGAATTACTGCCACCATCTGTGTAGGTACCAAGTGAACATTTTAAAAGAGGGAGAAAATGCTAAATGAAAAGGAGAAAAGAAAAAACAACAATGAACCCTCACTGTAGTATGTTGATGAGTAGTAGGAAAAAAATTCAAATGACCAAGAAAAGCTTCTGAATCTCTCTCTTTCTGGTGGTTTGGAGAAAGTGACTTGCCAGTTGTTGTGTTGAATGTTATGTTCAGGGAGAAGTAACTCTAAAGCTAAATAAGCTGTCATCCATGCCTTAAAAACTAAGTCTGCATTTTCTTCGGTGGGTGTTGGGGATTGGTTTCAGGATATGACAGCACGTGATCTGCTACAGCAGAGATACACGCTTCCAAATGGAGACACTGCCTGGCGGTCCTCGCCCCTCGTAAATGCTGCTCTGGAAGGGAAGCTGGTTCTCTTGGATGGCATTCACAGAGTCAATGCGGGTACACTTGCTGTATTACAAAGGTTGGTATGAGTCACACACACAAAAACACACCATGTAAACAGTAGACGTGGAATTTTTTCAATCTTCTCATTTAAACTCAGTTACGTAGTTCCTGAGGAACTTACAATTCTATATCCAAGTAAAACAGCAGATGTTTTTATTGTTGTAAATATAGTATAATAAAACTTCAAATAGTGAACATTATGGGAAGAGCCATAGCAAAATTATGTGTATAGGAGCTTAAAAGAGAAAACTTTTAAGTAATAATTTTGAAAGACATATATTTATATCTGTGCTGATTGATGTATGCGATAAGTCACACAGCCAAAGTTTTATAGTTTGTCAGAGTCACTGCTTCACTGCTTACCAACTCCTTTTCAATCTAGGTCTAAATTGTTGGTTGGTGTTGTTGGAATTTTTTTTGAGAGTGAGAGGAAACTTAGGTCCTTATATAAAACGTGTAATAGCTGTTTAATTATATTTTCTATTGGCCAAAGGGCACTTTGTGTTTACAGACTTGAACATTTGCATCACTTGTTTTCTTATTTCAGTTTATGTGGGGAAAATATCCACACATTCCTAATTAACTTCTCTTTAATGTTAAGAGAAGACTTTATGTGTAACTTTCATGGAAAATATTCCCATCTTGTGTCACTTCGGGAGATTAATGATACCATTGGGGGGGCGGGGTTACATCTTGATCCTATCACTTGGAAACATTTGATTTTTAACTTTAAATTTTAGCTTATTGGGGAAGTTCAAATAAGTGGAATAGTCTATTTCTCCCAGATAACTATTCAAAATTTTTTGTCCTTGACAGGATGCAGATGATGAGTATAATGAAAGATTCTGAAAACATTGTTAATCCTGATTAGATTTGAGAGCATTTAATCACCACAGACTTTCAGTGATTTACTATAAACATTCCATAGATTTACAGTATTTTTCTTTTCTAAACAGACAAATGCAAACACAAACAAAATAATTCTGCCCCCTTTTATTGGCCGCCTCTTTCTTAGGCCTAGTAGTAACTGCAGCAGCTGCTAACTGAGAGCTTGCTCTGCAGGCATTGTGCTAAGCCCGCCTTTCTCAGACTCTCAACTTGGAATCTCCTTGTGGGAGTGAGGCTTAAAAATTACTGATATCTGAGCTCCATCCTCCTCCTCAAATTCTGATGTAACTGACCCAAGATGAGGCCTGAACACTGGCATTTTTAAATGCTTCCCAGTGGATTCTAATGCACAGCTGAGATTGAGAGCAACTATATCAAGCATCTGCTTTACATTAGCTGTTTAATTTTCACAGCAATGCTATGAGGTTGGCATGATTGCCTCAATTTTAGAAAAGATAAAATTTTAGACAAACAGATTATTCCCTCCCCCCCCCCCCCCGCCGGGTCATTCAGCTAATAAGGTGCAGAGCTGGGCTTTGAACCCCGGTCTGAGGGACTCTGCTGCCCATGCTCCCAGCCTCTGCCTTAGGCAGCCTCCCCTCCCCTCGGTGCTTACTGAGTGGGTCTGTGGGGCAACTGTGCTGTGGGCATCCGGAAACTCTAGTGGTTGGTATAAGAGCTAGAATAGCACTTTCGACCTCTGCAACAGCTGGAGGACGATGTTATTTGTGCGGTGGGCCGTCAGGTCCCATCAGAGTTGCATATGAAGCAGCATTAGTTATTTCATTATAAAGATTTTTGATATTTTATATTACATAATTGCAAAGATAGAAATATTTTGGTAATACCATGACTTAAAGAGTTACATTAGATTCAAGGGAGTATGTGCCAACTGCTTTGTTCATTAATATTTACCTCATGGTTCTCCTGAGTCACCCATTCAGCTGTTTCTTTTCATCTCTCTCCTCTTCCCCCTCCTCTTCCTCCCTCTTCACATCTAGTAACCATGACTACTGCCCTCAAGTACAGAAACCAACAGTTTTGCCAAGTATAACATAGCGCTAGCCAACTTGAAATTTCAAAAGGTGCATTTAAACAAAATTGTTAGACTCAATTGCCAGTAATCATAGACATGATTAAAATATTAACTGACTGATTCTATCTCTAATAACTCCAACGTTCAAAACTGATTAATGTGTTTGCTGACCTTCCACCATCCCATTAGGCTGATCCACGACCGAGAGCTCAGCCTGTACGACGGCTCTAGGCTGCTGAGAGAAGACAGGTACATGCGTTTAAAGGAGGCACTGCAGATGTCTGATGAGCAGCTACGGAAGAGGTGATTTGGGGTTCACTGCTCTTATTGTCAGGGTTACCTTCTTTTTATCATTCTTCTAAACCTAGGGTCAAGCCAAGATGACTTTGAACAGCTTAATAATTTGGGGTCCTAGGCATGATCATATTTTGGGACTTCTTAAGACTCAAGGTTGCTATCCAAGATAGACTCCAAGCCTTGCTTTTCCATGAGTGCTTAAACATTTTATAAGAGCGTTAGTTTTAAGAAGTGAATCCCTCTTCTGTTGTCCTAACGATTCAATTTTGGCCCCAAACTTTATATCACTTCAGGAAAAAAAAAAGAAGAGAGAGAGAGAGAGAAAGAGAGAGCCTCAAAGTTAATGGGGCCTACCCTCGTAGGAAGTGAGCCATTATTTCTGGGGTATGCTACCTGATGCAGGATTACCTTTTATGGCTTATTTAAACATTCCTTCCAGAGCTGTAACAACCAAATATTATGTATGAGACCGGATTGGATCCTGGATCAGGAAATGAAATGAAAACAGCTATATAGGACTCTTAGGGACAATTAGGAAAGTTTGAATGTGGGCTATATATGTTACATGATACTGAATTAATAATAATTTTCTTAGGTATCATAATGGTATTGTGTTTATGAAGGTGTTGACCTAAAACAAATAGACTTCCAATTTCGCCAGCAAGAATAGTTTATTTGAGATCAACGAAGAACTGCAGTTTGGGGTCCGTAACTATGGCGAGCCTTGGGCAAGTCCCGATACAATGAGAGGAGGAAGGATTCTTTTCAAAGAGGGGAAAGAAAGTCGGGAGGGCCGTAGTGAACAAAGAGGTCATTGGAGGAATCGAGAGTTCGAAGTATAGTGGCTTTTCATTGGCTGAGCCCTTGCCAGGCAAGAAGAGGAAGCCTTTCTTTCTTCTCTTGGGCTCCACTATTGTCATAGGGTGCGAGAGCTCCCCCTTCTGGCCTCCCGACCCTACTTAACTGAGGGTTCCGTTTGTTAATTTTTTGCAATGGAGAATATTCCTATTCTTAGGAAATGTATGCTGAAATATTTAAGGGATGACATAAAAAGATGTCTGCAGCTTACTTCCAAATGTTTCAAGGGGGAAAAAGATATGGTGAATGGGTACAAACACCCCCCCCCATAAAGACAAAGAGCAATTGAGAATGAGAACACAAAGTGGTGAAATCTTAATAGTTGGTGAAACCTAGGTAGAGAATATATGGGTGTTCATATTCTATTCTTTCAAATTTTCTACGGATTTGAAAAATTTCAAAATAAAAAGTTTGAAAGAAAATATTTCTTTCAGCTGTGCACTATACGTTCCCTTAGAGGAGGTTTGGCAATTATAAGTCATTTTCTGTCTCATTACATTTCCATGCATGTTTTTACGTAATTAGAGATTGTTACTTTGGGGAATGCCTTGTCACTTCACTGAATCTTCTTTAATTGAAGCCACCCCTTCCCCCTAAGGGCTTGCTGCCATATTTAAAACAGTAAAATCCTACAAATCATAATTAAGTGTGTTTCTTATGTGTTTGTGTTTTAAGGAGAATTTTTTTTTATTTCCTTGGAATTTTTTCTATGGGGAGGAAATGTTCAATTCCTTACTATCTCTGTATAAGCTATTTAAAAATTCACTTGATTACACAGTTACTTATGCTTCTGAGGTGTGTATCATCAAATTCCTGTAGCCCAGTAAATGGTTTGGTTGAAAGTTTAGGAAGGCAAATTATAAAGATTCCTATCATAACACACCTTGGGCTTAAAACATTCAACTATTGTACATTATTTGCATGTGAATTACCTATCGGGGAACAGTTGTAATTTTCAGGGAGTTGAATCAAAGCAGTTAGTCTGGAGCTGTCAGCAAGACTGCCTAGCAAGTTCCCTTCGAACTTGAGGAGTGTTGTCTTCTGGCCAAATGTCCAGGAAATGATAACTCTTTCCTATGAAGAGAACTCAAGTTCTCTCTAATGGTCACAAGCAGTTTTGCAAATGAAAACACTTCCAGGAGCAAAGAGGCTCTGAACATTGTGTTCAGGATTTGGCTCAGACTGGTCAGTTGCGCTTCCTTCTCAAAGTGTCTCAGAACTATTGATTTTCATCACTCCTGTGAATAGAAGCCAGGCTCAGTTCTGTCTCCAGAAGTAACACTGAGTAGGTGGAGACAGATCAGAGCATTGCTTGGTTTCCTTCACTTATTTTTTTTTATTTTTGTTTGAGTTTTTTGTCATTGTTAAATATGCATGAAACTTGAGCCAGATAGTTTTTCAAGACTTTTAACGAAAAATATCAGCCGTCTGTTATCTGTCATGGGACACTTTCCCATTTCCCACTCCTTGGAGGCTACCACTTTCAACCTGAGCTGTTTCTTTTGATATTTACCTCTGTATCACTAAACAATATACTTTCATTGATATTTCTTGATTTATTTTTCAGTGTTAGGCACTACCTATTGATTTCCTATTCTGGAAAATTACACTTTAACTCCCTTTCACCATCCCTCTTCCCACTACACATCATGTGCTTCCTGTCTCCCATTCTTCCTAAATATTATGTAATAATTTTGTTTAGAACTTCTTTCAATATTTACATTATTATTATAGCACAAGGACTATATACAGCTGAACTATTCAATAAGCTACAGTTATTTGTCTTTCCTGAAATATGTTTTGTTTTTCCTAAAGTTTATTATTATGAAGAGAGACAGATATGTAAATAAATAATTACAATGCAATTTTTAAACGTTTTAAACGTTGTAGAGATTTCTACAACGATGTCATGGAAACACAGAGGAGGAAGTGACCTTCTTCTCTTCTCTTCTCTTCTCTTCTCTTCTCTTCTCTTCTCTTCTCTTCTCCTATTGCTACCTCACAGAGGTTTATTAGTGAAGGCAAGATGCTTAAAAAAGTTGTCAAATATAAAGAGGTTAGTTTACACTTTACCTACACCAAAAAATATGTTTTCCAAATTGTCTTGACTTTTTTAAGACAACTAAAAAGTATTCAGCTACCATACAAATACTTGTGTGTATTTAGTTTTTTTTTTTAACTGAGGTATAGTTGATTTAAAATATTATATTAGTTCCAAGGGTATAAAAGTGATTCAGTATTTTATAGATTATACCCCATTTGAAGTTATTAAAAAATGTTGGCTGTATTCCTTGTGCTGTACAATATATCCTTGTACCTTATTTGTTTTATACATAGTAGTTTGTATATCTTAATCCCCTACTCCTGTCTTGCCCCTTCCCCGCACCCCTCCCCACTGATAACCACTAGTTTTTTCTCCTTATCTGTGAGTCTGTTTCTGTATATTGTATTTATTCATGTGTTTATTTTTTAGATTCCACATACAAGTGATAACATACACTATTTGTCTTTCTCTGTCTAATTTCACTTAGCATAATATTCTCTAGTTCCATCCACATTACTGCAAATGGAAGTATTTCATTCTTTTTTATGGCTGAGTAATATTCCCGAGTGTGTGTGTGTGTGTGTGTGTGTGTGTGTGTGTGTGTGTGTGTGTGTATCACATCTTTATCCATTTATTCGTTGATGGGCACTTACATTGTTTCCATGTCATGGCTATTGTAAATAATGCTGCTATGAACATTGAGGTACATATATCTTTTCAAATTAGTATTATTATTTTCTTTGGATATATACCCAGGAGTGGAATTGCTGGATCATATGGTAGTTCTATTTTTAGTTTTTTTAAGGAAACTGCATAGTTTTTCTATAGTGGCTGTATCAATTTACATTCACCAATAGTGTACTGGGGTTCCCTTTCTTCCACATCCTCACCAACATTTGCTATTTGTGGTCTTTTTGATGATAGCCATTCGTACATGTGCGAGGTGATATCTCATTGTGGTTTTGATTTGCATTTCTCTAATGATTAGCTATGTTAAGCATCCTTTCATGTGCCTGTTGGCCATTTGTATGCCTTCTTTGGAAAAATGTTTATTCAAGTCTTCTCCTATTTTTTAATTGGATTGTTTGTACTTTTGGTGTTCAGTTGTTTGAACTGTTTATGTATTTTGGATATAATGCCTTATCAGACATATTTGCAAATATCTTTTCCTATTCTGTAGGTTGCCTTTTTGTTTTGATAATGTTTACTGTGGGTTTGTCATAAATGGCCTTTATTATGTTGAGATATATTTCCTCTATACCAACTTTGATGAAAGTTTTTATCATGAATAGATGTTGAATTTTGTCAAATGCTTTTTCTGTGTCAATTAAGATGATCATGTGATTTCTAACCTGACTTTTCTTGATGTGATAGATCAAATTGATTGATTTGTGGATATTGAACCATCTTTGCATCCCTGGAATAAATACCACTTAATCATGGTGTATGATCCTTTTTATATATTATTGAATTTGTTTTGCTAGTATTTTGTCAAGAATTTTGACATCTATATTCATCAGAGATAATAGCCTGTAATTTTCTTTTTTTGTTCTTTGGTTTTGTTATAAGGGTAATGGTGGCCTCATAGAACAAATTTTGAATGTTCCTTTCTCTTTAATTTTTTGGAAGGATTTGAGGAGGATAAGTATTAGCTCTTCTTTATATGTTTGGTAGAATTCCCCTATGAAGCCATCTGATCCTGGACTGTTGTTTGCTGGGAGTCTTTTTTATTACTAATTCAATTTCACTCTTAGTGATTGGTCTGTTCAGATAGTCTGTTTCTTCCTGATTCAGTCTGAAGATTGTATATTCTAGAAATTTATCCATTTATTCTAGGTTATCTAATTTGTTGGCATATAACTGTTCATAGTATTCTCTTATGTTTTTTTAATCTCTGAGATATTGGTTGTAATTTCTCCTCTTTTGTTATTTATTTTGTTTATTTTTCTCTTATTTTTTTCTGGATAAGCCTGGCTAAAGGTTTATCAATTTTGTTTACATTTTCAAGAGAAAAACAACAGCTCTTGGTTTCATTGTCTTTTTATTTTTTTCTTGATTTTACTTATTTTCTCTCTGATCTTTATTATTTCCTTTCTTCTGCTGA